GATGGCTAGCACGAGGGGACATAGCTTTAAATTGAGGGGTGATAGATGTAGGACAGATGTCAGAGGTAGGTTCTTTACTCAGCAAGTAGTAAGGGCGTGGAATGCCCTGCCTGCAAAAATAGTAGACTCGCCCACTTTAAGGGCATTTAAATGGTCATTGGATAAACATATGGATGATAATGGAATAGTTTAGGTTAGATTGGCTTCAGATTGGTTTCACAGGTCGGCGCAACATCGAGGGCCGAAGGGCCTGTACTGCGCTGTAATGTTCTATGTTCTATGTTCTATGTTCTACAGGGCGAATGTCCCATATCACCTGAACAACATGCATGTTCTACATCAGCCCTACAGCGTGCAGGCTTCATATCATCCCAACAGCATTCTTGTTCCATGCCACTGCTACAGTGTCCATACTGTGTATCATCCTGACAACATACGTCCTCCATTTTTCACCCCAATAAGGTTTATGCTTCTTATACCCTCAACAACATATTGCTTCATATTATCCCCATCAACAAGCATGCTGGATACTCCATTGACAGTAGGCATGCTGTGCATTTCCCAATCCCGTCCACTGAATCCCTGGATAGTCCCTGGATCACATCCTGTGAGATTTGTTTGATGAACCAGAGGCAAATATCTTAGTCAGGTGGCTATTGGTAAACACTAAACAGATTCGCAACTAGCAATTAGAGCTGAAGAGTATGGTAGTCCCTAGAATGTACTCTATAGCCTTGATGATGTGGCTGCATGTCAGACTGTGTACCCAACCCCATTCCGTTTTGATAATACGGGTACATGACCTCACAGAGGTAGGCAGTAATGTAGCTCTGCTGTTCAAGATGTCTATAGTTTGTCTCTCAGAAGACCAGAAAGGCAAAGTCTCTGAAGATAGACATCACTAGTGAAATTGGTGGTAATATTCAGTATGAAATTGTGATTGTTGTCCTTCTCACTTGCTCCCAATCAACACCTCAGTAACCTGGTCAAGAAACAATCAATTTGATGTTTGTATCAAAAAGCAGTTGAATGATATCAAGGAGACAAAAAGCCTCATAGTTATTGATGCAGAGTAGGTTAGAGTTGTGCATCGGAACCTTGTATAACCCCAACATAGCAGATTGCCAAGGAAATTGCCCACAAAATAGAAGATCCAGCTGGGCAAATCCCCCCCACCTGGAATCCTCTGAAAGCATGCATTTAAGTAAGAGCGATCTGGTGCAGTTAACAGTTACTCAGAAACAGATAGACTATTGAAAACCTGATATAATTGCTGAGTAACAATTACACTGACGCCACACCACTGCCCTCCCCAGTCCCAGACCCCTTACACCACCTAGACACTCCCTTACCTGACACATAATCTCGAGCCACGCCACAGATCCCGCCACTTGTCCATGCCCCCAGGGACGCTCCCACTCACATCCAGCACACCACACCCATCGCCCAGAAGCTAACGCCACTATGACCCTGCCACTGAGACCCCATTCCTGCCAGGACACAACAGCTCCCCTCCGCACTGCTGGACTTGCTCCTCTCCCAACTGGGACCTAAAACTCCTCTTCAAACCCCCTCTCCATCCCCGGTTCCCAACAACCAATCGTCCCCCACCACTGGACCCAATATCTTAAAACCACTCGAACTCTAACCAACCCCTCACCGCTCCAAAGAAAGCAGTCCAAGTTTTTCAAGCCTCTCTTCATAGTTAAAGTGAATCGCCTTTGCACCCCGTCCAATAGAATCAGATCCTTCCTCATGTTTGTTCTGATGAGTGCAAGATGAAGTTTTGGCAACATGTCTCTCTTTGCACGAATATTCAAATTCTGTACTACAAAGGAATCATCTTTAATTTAGTTTGTCCATAGTTTAATATTATAACGGCATTTCTAATTTTATTAGCATCAATTATAGGTTAGTAGGTTTAAATGTTCTTAGGATTAAACGTAGTTACTTTGCAGCAAAAACGTTTATTTTTGTACTTGAGGCATAATTCTGGAGACACATCCATTTTCATAAAGACTGTACTTGCAGGCCTATCTCTACCTCGGTGTTAATAAAAAGCTTAAATTGTCTGGAAGACCAAACAGACCCATTGGATGCATTGGAACATCAAAGGTCAGTGTTTCAACATGTTGGAGAAAATTATATAAATTAGTTGTTGCCTTTATTGTGATAACATTCAAAATTTAATAATGTGAGGAATATGTTCCAAAATACTGTGGAAGCTTATTATGCAGTAGTTAATCTCATGTGGCATTCCAGAATTCGGATAAACCTTGGCTATAAAAGCAAGGAATAATATGCCTAGGGAACAGTAATATTTATAACATTTATTTTTGTCATAATTTTCAAAACATTCACAATAGCTAAACATGAAGTAGCATTGAAAATAACTTAGTTAAAATGCATTCAATTTTGGTTTCACTTTTCACAATATAATTCAATAGGTAAGAATTAATTAGTATTCAAATTGCTTGAGGTAACTAAATAAGTATGACTGAAAGGTTTGTGTCTAAATAGAATTCACAATATCTTAATTTAAATGCAGCTGTAATGGGTTTATAAGTCTGGCGGTTGAGCAGTGTCTATCACACTATGTTAATACGGTGATTAACGTCGGTGTGAATGTATGTACGTACATAATTGTATTGTATCAATGTCATGAATAAAAACATACTTATTCTCTACCTGCATGTAAAAAGTCTTTTTCCTCAATAAATTCAGTTTTCAACCAAAAGTATCTCTTTTTCTTGCAGCTTTATAGAATTCTGGGAAAGACAGTTGTGTGCTATCCCATTGTGTTTGATTTGAGTGACTTTTACATGAGCCAAGATGTCATGCTGCTGATTGATGACATAAAGGTAAAACTAAGGAGTGATAGAGTCTTGACCCAAGAAATGAATGTTAATAGAAAAAAAAACCTTTTCTTCAGAAAAGCAAACACTAATTCATTTTTAATATAGCAATAGCTAAGTGGGGTTAATTAAATAACACTAGTGTTCATGTATAAGCCTGAATGAACTGCTATATTTTGAGGGAAAGAAGTAGTATTGAATTTTATAAATGAATTTAAGTTTCGGTTATATTTTCAAGCTTTAAAGTGTTTATAAAACCTAAGAACACCTGTAATGAAATTAGTTCACACCTAAATAAAACCATTAAGCAGCTCCCATTTTTTATTTGTGTAACATCAGCTTATTCCACTGACTTAGATGACAGCATGAAATTGACGCTACCAAAAAAGTCACATAGTGATACTCCACCCCATATTTATACATTGCAATGAGGACTGATTTATTAATTTTTGAGGGCTTCCATCAATTGAAGATCCAAGTATTTTACTAAACCGGTTTTGCAGAATTTTAATTTATTTTAAAATGTTATGACATTTTAAACGTTGTGTATTTAATTTGTTTTGATTGATTTGTTATAACTTTGGGTGAGGTGATGGCCTTGTGGTATTATCATTAAAACTATTAATTCAGAGACCCATATAATGTTCTAGGGACTCAGGTTCAAATCCTACAATGGAGTTTGAATTCAACAAAAATCTAGATGTAATGATGGCCATAAAATCATTGTCAATTTTCACAAAAACCTATCTGATTCACTAATGTCCCTTAAGGACGGAAACCACCATCTTTACCTGATAAAAACCAAAAGAACTGCAGATGCTGTAAATCAGGAACAAAAACAAAGTTGCTGGAAAAGCTCAGCAGGTCTGGCAGCATCTGTGAA